ACTGCCAGTGTGAAGGCGGCGTAATGCGTAATCTGCTGCCGCACCGCGCTGATTCAGAGCGATTGAAAGCTGGTAGCAGAAGAATTCAACAAGTGAAACGTAGTTAAAATAATTCATAATCACAATACTGAAATTAGGCTACTGAAATGTAATTGAATAAATAATGAAAACATTTCAACATAAAAACATTGCAATAAAAACATTTAGGCTACATGAATGAGGCTTTACAACTTTAACAGCGTACAGAAGACAGCTCAGTGATCAACGCAACAACACGAGCTTCGAGGAGCTTCAACAGACCCGAGATCGAATCTCAATGTAGCATACATGTTGTTAACCGATGTTGTCCTACGTTTATATTTTCCCACCTTGATGCTTAAATAGGTAACTGTTTATATCTGTTTACTTATTTAAAGTCAAGAGTTTTGTTTGATTATCATTACAACATAAATTTGCTACATTCCTGTAGAACCGCAGCCGCTGCACAAACGACAAAAACTGATGAAGGAAGATTGTCAGCCGATCAGAAAATGAAAATGAAGAAGCTCGTCTTTAGTCTGCTAAATTATTGTGTAATGTAAAAGAACACTAAAATTACTTAAGTTTGAAACCAAGTTCGAACATTTCAAGGTTTAAATTGTTTAATTTAAAACAGGGTTGCATCTTGTTTAGAGTTTATTTCTTTTGCGATGCAAAATAAGAAACACTAGGCTAATCTTATTCTTGCGACATTTTAAATTTGTATTGCCAAAGAAATTACAGCTAAATTAAACAATTAAAACAGTAGGCCTACAAAACGAAAATTGTCCAAAGAAACATAATTAAATTAAAAACATGCGTTTCTCTTTGCCTCTCTCGCGCTGGATCTCTTTTTAACAAGTTTATTTAGTCTCCCTCGCTGCGCGCGCGGGTCTCTCTCTCGAAATGAATCATTTCAGGGTAAAAACACATCATACAGCTGATAATACTGTATATGTCGCTGCGTGTCAGCCATACAAATCACGAAAAAATTATTTAACCTTTAATTGTTGCTTCAAAGACACAGCATGCCTTGTTGAATTCACCTTACAATAACTTCAATTGAAATTTTGTGTGAAAAAAACTTTAAATAGGCTACAATAAATAAACTACAATATTTATAATTTAATAAGATATGGGGCCTACATTTGGACACAGATTTATCCTTACAATAATTTTGCCTGCTCATCAGGCTGGCTATCCGACACTCTCCATATGAAAGAGGAACATTAACACCTTTGTCCAGCAACTGTCCCTCCAACCCCCCACAGGCTATCGGAGTCTGAGGCTGACTTAACACAAAGAGAAGTCGCAATTCACACTTAAATCGCCATTCTAGACAGTGTTGATAATGAAGGAATTAAATGATTTAAGTTACATGTAGCCTAGTGATATTTCTGTCATAAAAGTTTATTACTAAATATTTCATTATTTCAATAATTGATGAAATAAAACTGGTTTGGGGCAGCTTTTTCCAAGCAAAACTAAATATAATCTGAAAAAACGCTTGTTAATTTGTTGTCATGAACAAAATGTTCAACTTAATATTAAAGTCTACAGGGATCTTTGGATCCTTACAACCAGGCATGCAATTTGTGAATTAAGTTTTTATTTTATTTTGTATTATTCAAATAAATATCGAAACACGGTGCTTCGTGGTAATGCTGCTAAATTAAATAACATTTATAGAATAATTATGAACTTAAATGAAACAATATCGCAACATTTCGACAAATACATTATTATGTTTTTACATTTTAATTCAGGGCGATTTAGCCTACATTTAATTAGAGCGAGATTTTCACCCATGTCTTGTCATTTTCTCATTGGGAAGCGCATGTTTGAGTAGATCCTCTGTACCTCTCGTTTTCATATGGATTAGCCTACATAATCAGATAACATTTATTAGCCTAAATATTTAGACATTTAAAGGCTTTAGACATAGCCGATTTCTTATCGTGACTGAGCTGAAGTGGCTTTCGGTTCATTTTTGTGACGCGCAGTTCCCGGAGACAGAGAGGACAGATATACTGTTTTTGTCGTTAGCCTAATATGAATACAAGTTTACAGTTTTGAACGATGTAAGCTACTCTACTCTTATCTGTATGACCAAAAAATTACGGAGTCGCCTATTTTAGCTGTAATAATGAGATAAATAAATTAATCTAAATGAACGCTCCGCCGCGTTTGTCGAACACTAACTCACGATGCCAGAATAAAACCCGACTTTAGAAAAATGCATAGGGTCACTCGGCGTGGTGTGCCAAAACACTTAATTATAAACTTCAATATTTCATTCAAAATAATCTCAACACGCTTTGTGAAATTTTGAAAAGCCGTGCATGCATTAAGGCCACTGGAACTAATGAACAACTGAAACGCTGGTTTTGATTTTATTGTTTTTCGTTTAAACGTGCCTGTTGCATATCTCTATTTTATATATTTGATATTGGTGAAGTAGCCTATAGCATTGATTAGCTGTGGAGGGAGGGGTGTGGGGATTAAAATAATTCAGCAGAAGTAGGGATGTTTAGACCAGAAGGAAATCCCAGTCCCCCCTGGCAAATCACACTTTACTTAAAACCATGTTTTTAAAAACTCTAGGTTGTAGGGAACAGACCTCTCTGCCATGCGCGCGCACGGTTTGGAGCACAATATCTGTCTCGCATGCACGCTCGCTCTAAATAGATTACGGGATATTTTAACTAATTCGCGGTATAACTAGTCGATCACGAGTGGCTCAACAGGTAGATCTATGGATAAACTATGGCTGTGTCCGAAATCTCCACTCAAACCACTACTCCCTAACCCCTATGTAGGGGGTAGGGATTAGAGCACTATATAGTGAGCTCACCAGCATAATAGAAACACCACTTTCGGACACTACTCGATCGTCTCTCGGCGCCGTTGATTAAACGCGCCATCTGTCAGCTGGTGCCGAGCCAGCTCTGGGCTAAATAGATTTTTTATATATAAATACATTACATTATATTGAGCTTATTTCTCCAAAATTGTAAAATTAAAAGTAATTTCTGGCCGTTTCTGTTACAATGCGTTACTCCACACATGATTATAACTTATAAACATAAATAAAATTAATACACATATTTCATATATTTTCATTTTCGCGCCACACCGTTTTCTCTTGCCTGTCGACATAAAAAAAACAAAAAAAAACAGATCTACGTTATCAAATATCTTGCTCATAATAGGCTACTCTTAATAAAACAGCTTTTAGACTCTGTGGAGATGCCACTCAATATTTACCTTTTTTGTTTGTTTGTTCTCGTGATTCAGAAGATTTTGCAAGTTAGCAAAAGAAACAGGATTTCTAGACACAGAAAATGACGTGCTGTTCTTGCTACGCCAGCGAGACGTCGTCAAATTGTAAGTTAAAGATGAAGATGATGCTGATAGGTCTTTTACGATCAGCGCAATGCATGATGGTATGTAGGGGTTGGGTTAGTGACCATCGGTTGTACACTACTTTTCAAAATGCATTCTGGGATACATTGAGTGGACTATATAGGGTATAATAATCATCATACATTCGGACAGCACTACAAAATGGCGAGCTCACTATATAGTCCACTATATAGTGAGTAGTGGGAGATTTCGGACACAGCACGTATCTTTCAGGAATTTGACCGACCGGGTTGACACTTCAGCGTGAGAAATCGGGGGTGTGGCGTGAGAGCCTGGAATAAATAAATAAAAAATATATATAGCCTATATAAAACAAAACTGTATGGTGTAACAGAGTTTTAGAGCTAGACAAATCTCTCTGCAATAATAAATATAAAATATACAGCAGACCATGTTTGTGCGGGATTTGAACCTGTGTCATCTTGATGATGAACCGTCAGTTCTACCGCTCGGCTATGAATTTTGTTACTGAGAAATAACCAAACGTTTGATTCTCACATGAGCGAGAAAACGTTTTGTCTTTAGCCTGTGAGTGTAGGCCTACTTTAGCCTTTTACAGTTTTAAAAGATTATATCTTATCTGTATGACCAACAATTTGTTGTAGGCTTATTTGGAAATTACCATAACTTGTAGTATTTCATCCTTATGCTACTGTTAATAGACATTAGCCCCACTTACGTTTTGCTAAATGTCCCTTTGCGCCACCTGGCGGTCATTTCGCGTACGACTTTGAAATGCGACTGGTTTATTTTTACCGCGGTGGATGGCTAAAAATGGTATGTGGATGGCTAAAAGGTGTGACTAAAAATGTGCTTTTGGCTTTCATTTATATTTTGATTGTTTGTATATATATATATATATATATACTAATGAGCCTTTCATTCAGGGGTGTCACACAAGAAAGAATGCAAGGACAATATATATATATAAATAAATAAATATTTATATACACACACACACACACACATATATATATATATATATATGTGTGTGTGTGTATATAAATATTTATTTATTTATATATATATTGTCCTTGCATTCTTTCTTGTGTGACACCCCTGAATGAAAGGCTCATTAGTATGCAGTCTGCTCAGGTGAGAACTGCCTAATTATTCATGAGGGGGTTGGGCCGATCCGCCCATCCGCATATTGCCTTTGCAAACAAAAAAAATGTTTTTCACAATTTAAAACAATCTATTGTGTTATGTGAATGATAAGGCAGGATGATTTTCAGATCATTTTGAAGAAAAAACTCTAGGCCACAACATCCATTAGTCAAAAGTCTTGTGGACACATATTTAGTATGTGTTTTGTGGCCTTATTTCAGAAACTTTAAGTTTTAGTTTTTTCAATAACCACGCATAAACAATATTCTCTCAAAAATACAAAAATGTACATACATGTTGATAACACATTATGGTAGCCCTGTGTGTGCTAAATAGAGTGTAATTTCACCTTTGCCAGTAATATGTTTATAAGCAACTGAAAAAAGCACAAATGTCAGAGTATGTCAAAACATCTCAAGGACCCCAAAAACACCTTGGACCCCAGAGGGTTAAGACAAAGCCAGAGAAGAGAAAGGACTTGGTAATTACTTTTATCATTAGTATTTGGACCAGATTTTTTTTCTGAACCTTTTTCTTTGCATTTTTTTTCTCCGCAATGAACATTCATATTTTCAAAACTTTTATTTTTCCAGGTGCTGACACTGGGCCTTGCTGGGGGCGTGAACCTCAAGGACACTGTGTGGAGGGTCATGAAGATGCTTATTCAGAACGACTTGGCCTGCAAAATGAATTGGACAGGCCTCCATGGCAAAACATCATTCCAGGGCCTAGAAGTCAAGAATGTTGTTACAGGTAAAAGTGTTGATTAGATGTACCAGGCAACATTTTTAGGTTCATTTACCAGCTTCGTAGTCACTTCGATGAGCTGCCACCCCTCAATGCAGGGTGAATAAAGGCTCTTGGCCGCCTCCAGTGTAGTGGCCACTGTTTTTAGAGGCAAATTCTTTGTTTGTGAACAAAGGGCATAAATGCAGAGAAATGTCTTTGTTTTTCAAAATAACCATGTATGTGTGAAAGGGGTGTTAGTCTATCGTTCGTGGTCAGACTACACATTATGATATAGTCTGGCTTGTCAGGCTATGTATACACCTCTTTTGTAAGGTCTGTGCCTGTTTAACTCCATAGTGGTAAAGAAACTGTATTAACAAATTATGCTGTCCCTTTCCCTTTAGTCTGTCACACAAAGTCAACAGAAGAATGGGACTAAACTTAAAGACCTAAATGAAATTTAAGTTTAAATGGCATTGGCTGTCTTTACGAAGTCTTAAATTTAAACTCTGAAACCTCCCATGATATCTTTAATTGTTTGTTTCTAGAAGCCATTCGGAGAAATCCTGGATGCAGAAAATCCACGAACCAGGAGGTGGAGCAAGGGTTGAGGCATTGGTTGTATTTGGCTGGTGATCGATAGGGGGGAAGGAGGAGGAGAAGCACAGTCCTCCACCATCAGCCACCCACCAGCACACAACGTCAGGCGCACACACCAACACACAACGTCAGCCACCCACCAGCACACGACGCCAGGCGCACACACCAACACACAACGTCAGGCGCACACACCAACACACAACGTCAGCCGCACACACCAACACACAACGTCAGCCACCCACCAGCACACGACGTCAGGCGCACACACCAACACACAACGTCAGGCGCACACACCAACACACAACGTCAGGCGTACACACCAGCACACGACGTCAGGCGCACACACCAGCACACAACGTCAGGCGCACACACCAGCACACAACGTCAGGCGCACACCAGCACACAACGTCAGGCACACACCAGCACACAACGTCAGGTACACAACGTCAGGCACACACCAGCACACAGCGTCAAGCACACACCAGCACACAACGTCAGGCACACACCAGCACACAACGTCAGGCACACAACGTCAGGCGCACACACCAGCACACAACGTCAGGCGCACACACCAGCACACAACGACAGGCACACACCAGCACACAACGACAGGCACACACCAGCACACCATGTCAGGCACACACCAGCACACAACGTCAGGCACACACCAGCACACAACGTCAGGCACACACCAGCACACAACGTCAGGCACACACCAGCACACAACGTCAGGCGCACACACCAGCACACAACGTCAGGCACACACCAGCACACAACGCCAGCACACAACGTCAGGCGCACACCAGCACACAACGTCAGGCACACACCAGCACACAACGTCAGGCACACACCAGCACACAACGTCAGGCACACACCAGCACACAACGTCAGGCACACACCAGCACACAACGTCAGGCACACACCAGCACACAACGTCAGGCACACACCAGCACACAACGTCAGGCGCACACACCAGCACACAACGTCAGGCGCACACACCAGCACACAACGTCAGGCGCACACACCAGCACACAACGTCAGGCGCACACACCAGCACACAACGTCAGGCGCACACACCAGCACACAACGTCAGGCGCACACACCAGCACACAACGTCAGGCGCACACACCAGCACACAACGTCAGCCACCCACCAGCACACAACGTCAGCCACCCACCAGCACACAACGTCAGCCACGCACCAGCACACAACGACAGCCACCCACCAACACACAACGTCAGCCGCACACACCAACGCACACACCAGCACACAACGTCAGCCACGCACACAACGTCAGCCACGCACACAACGTCAACCGCCCACCAACACACAACGTCAGGCGCACACACCAGCACACAACGTCAGCCACCCACCAGCACACAACGTCAACCGCCCACCAACACACAACGTCAGGCACTTTCTTTCTAAAACTAAGCTTTGTATGTTTTTGCATTTTATTTCTATAACAAATAAAAAAAAATTGTAAATGTTTACCTATTTAGGTCATATGTTTGTTAATTGAAAATAAAAACAAATTTTCTGCAGTTATGGTTTCCTGGTTTGATTTCTCTTTGAATTGCATGGTTGCTATTGGGTCCAGATATTAAATATGGGCCAAATTAGTTATTTTAATATAATCTGGCAGAGTTGTGGCCTGTGCTCGGGAGACATCTGGCTTTTCAATGGCGATATTATGGCATGAATATGGCCCAATTTAGGGTCTTCTGGCTCTCGTCTGGTAAGGCATTGGCATTTTTCTGGCAGCTTTCTGGCGTGCTTTTGGCAAAACTGTCTGGGCCGGTTTTGGCCCTGCATTGCTGGCGGTATGATTGCCAAAACTAAGAACAGTGTTTGGGCCATAAAAGGCCCGGAACAATTTTGCTATCTGGGATGAGGTTAAGGACTCGCCAGTTGTTGATCTGCCCACAGCATCGGTCACTATAGATGACGAGCTTCCGTTCCTTTGCCTGGACTAGGGGAGCGAAAGATGTTTCTGCCCACTTCAAAAGACAACTTGCCACCTCGATGGAACCTCTGTGAGCGATGCCCTCATGCCTGAGGCACATTGTAGGAGGATCGTCAGTGCCCATCTCCTGGATACAGAGGTTGTAGTTGGCCAGCTGCCGTTGATAGTACACGTTGGAGTGCGTCAGGTTTGGTGTGAACACTACCCCCTACATGTCGATACAAATGACATGGCAGTCATCATTGGCTTTGGCCCACTCTGTGTCAGCCTGCAACTGGGTGTACGCTTTTTCAGCTTTCCGGTGGTGAAGCTCACTCTCGGCTGCGATCTTCAACCTTTCTCCATCTGTTGTAGCAGCTGTTAATTTTGAGAACAGGGCGTCACATTTTGCACAAGTGTCACTTCTTGGCTGCCCAAAACTGAGGTTCTGCTGCTTGAAGAGGTCCTTATAGAGCCAGAACTTTGCAGTGGATGTTGGATTGTGTTCCTTGTACAGGCGGAACATGCCTGTACAAGGAACAACCGAATTCTTTTTAGTATTTTCGAATTACCATGCTTTCCTCCCTCATATCCCCCTGAGATGAGAGATTTATGTATTTTTTGTCTGGAAAAAATCCTCACATGACGCAAAAATCGTCATTGTTTACATGCACACCTTTTGTTTCAATCTAACTGAATTTATTCCGATTTGTGAATCTGAATGTAGTGTTTACATGGATGCTAAATATGTGATTGATTGATGTGTGCGTTTTAGCATTGCAATCTGGGAGTTGTTGTCTTTCATCCCCATAAATCAAAAATACATTTTCTGGCTTTTCTCAGTCTAGAAGGCTCCAAATTCAAAAATAATTTCGCATTTCTACTGCATAAATGACCCATTTTAAATACACATTAATCTTTCCAGAGCTGAAGTATCCCTTTAAGATACATTACATTTGCATAGCACTTTACCTGATGATATCGATCTCAAAGTGCAAAAATGTTTCCTGACTGGGCAACAACAGTGAGCTGAATCCTAACCATTACGTTATGTGCACGCTGGCGTTATAGGGTGGCAAGGCACCCGACCCCCTATAATGCCAGCGTCCAGTGCACCATTAGACCAGGGAATGTTGTAGGGCAACGGATGCTGACAATGGTGCAGATTTAAAAACTAACAGGACGAGAGCATGAGGTCCTTCAAGATTTTTCTTATGTTTTCCTCTGAAATCCTCTAATCAGTCCCTCCAGTTTTTCGCGATTCTGCGATCGCTGAATACAACGCAAAATCAACAAAATGTCGCATTTTTTTGCGATCCTGCATAATTCCTAATTTAACCGCAAAATAATCACAAAAATTCAAAAAATTACATCACAAAACATTAAATTATAATCACCCAATTGAAATATATCTAGTTAAAGTTTCAATAGATTTTTATGTGGATACAGATGTTGCACACGCGTGATGTCTGTGAGCGGTCTGTCAAACATGGCGAAAGAAAATGCGTCTCTCCTGCCCTCTCACATTAGCGCCCAGGTTTTCATTGGGCTACGGCAAACTTATTAACGCATTTAACATGATTGAATGACATAACAAAAAGTATGATATGCTCGATGGTACTAAAAATAATTCTTAAAAGCACAGCATACCGTGAAAGAGAACTAATTTCAGCCAGTCGAGTGACAGTCTGTCTCTGACTGCAAGCGTGTGTGTGTGTGTGTGTGTGTGTGACTGACTGACTGACTGCGTGTCACCGCCTGTCGTCCTAGTTAGAATATTGAATTCTCTTTATAGCGCTTGAACAAATACACATAGCTACAATTACTTCAAAATATTAATCTTGGCAAGTACCGTATTTTCCGCACTATAAGGCGCACTTAAAAGCCTTTAATTTTCTCAAAAAACGTCAGTGCGGCTTATAGTGCGGTGCGCCTTATATATGAATCAATTAGATTAATTTACGTTGGTTAATAACGCTCCGGATTATAAGGCGCACTGTCAAAATGTTTCAGTATGAAAAACCAATAATAATAATAAATATTTAATAATAATAAAATGTTTCAGTACGACTGGTAAACTACAAAGCCGCACCGCGTGCAGCATTACGGCTACCGTAGTCAGTAAAAACCGTTACTGTGCTTACTAACAACAACACTTGTGTGTGTATAAAGACCTCAAAATGGCACCTGTCAAGAGACACGCTTACGACGCAGAGTTCAAGCTCAAGGCTGTCGGTCACGCAGTAGAATATGGGAATAGAGCAGCAGCGAGAGAATTTAACATTAATGAATCAATGGTACGGAAGTGGAGGAAGCAAGAAAATGACCTGCGCCAAGTAAAAAAGACTAAACAGAGTTTCAGAGGGAACAAAGCGAGATGGCCACAGTTAGAGGACGAACTCGAAAAGTGGGTTGTTGAACAGAGAGCAGCAAGTAGAAGCGTCTCTACAGTCACTATTCGAATGAAGGCAACGGCGCTAGCACGGGACATGAACATCGATGAATTTCGAGGCGGTCCTTCTTGGTGCTTTCGTTTTATGAAAAGACGTAATCTCTCCATCCGCACACGAACTACCGTCTCGCAGCAACTGCCAAAAGATTACCAAGAAAAGCTGGTCACTTTCCGCGCATACTGCAAAAAGAAGATCACTGAAAAGAAGATCCGGCCAGAGCACATCACCAACATGGACGAGGTTCCACTCACCTTTGATATTCCCGTGAACCGCACTGTGGAGAAAACGGGGACCAGTACGGTGTCTGTACGCACCACAGGGAATGAGAAGTCATCCTTTACTGTAGTTCTCGCCTGCCAGGCTAATGGCCAGAAACTTCCACCCATGGTTATTTTCAAGAGGAAGACCTTGCCAAAAGAAAACTTTCCAGCCGGCGTCGTCATCAAAGTTAACCCGAAGGGATGGATGGATGAGGAAAAGATGAGTGAGTGGTTGAGAGAAATTTACGTCAAGAGACTGGGTGGCTTTTTCCACACAGCTCCGTCCCTATTGATCTACGACTCCATGCGCGCCCATATCACCGATGCTGTCAAAAAACAAGTGAAGCAAACTAATTCGGAGCTTGCCGTCATTCCGGGTGGATTAACTAAAGAACTCCAGCCGCTAGATATTGGTGTCAACAGGGCGTTCAAAGCTAGACTGCGAGCTGCGTGGGAGCAGTGGATGACAGAAGGTGAACACACGTTCACCAAGACGGGGAGACAGCGCCGGGCGACTTACGCCACTATCTGCCAATGGATCGTGGATGCCTGGGCTGATATATCAGTCGCAACTGTGATCCGAGCTTTCACGAAGGCAGGAATAATCTCTGAACTGCCAGGCAACAGCAGCGACACTGACTCGGATAATGACGAGAGGGAACGGGGCAGGTT